CCATTCTATAAGTAATTTCATGAAACTTTTTATGACGAACTTTCCTCTGTGGTACCTAGACTATAAGAATTTAAACGCAGTACTTGATTGGCTGCAAGGTCTCATCATTTTGCAGTTGAAATGGGTAGATTTAACCGTAAGCCTTATGCTAACAGTATTTTTAGGACATTTTGTTTATAGAACTCCTTTCCAAGACCATATATTCGAACCAACGTTGATCTTCAAAAAATTAAGGAAATTAAAAATCGTTATTAACTGTCTTTTTGATTACTTTACTTTTATTGTTCTCTGTCCTTAATAATTTTTGTCTTTTTCACAATCAGTAACTCTTTGTGTCTTACCAGCATTAGTGCAATCAGTGCATGTGATATGATTAAATAAAAACATCAATATAAAGAAGAGACAATTCTGTTTCTGATCTGGTGCGACAGGCCAAAATGCGTGCTAGAAAACGGAGACGTCAAAATCAAGCGAAGGCAGACGTTTATCTCTTTTGGAAGTTCTATATTAGGCGGTGGAAAATGCGACAAAGAGAAGCAAAGGAACTTGAGACAACAGTGAAGTTATTCTACTGAAGTTTGCTGACATTTATACGGACGTAACTTATTATCTATAATATTAAATTTTATATTATTATATATATATATATATATATATATATATATATATATATATAATAATAATATTATATATATATATATATATATATATATATATATATATATATATATTATATTTATATATATATATATATATATATATATTAATTTTATTATATATATATATAATAATAATATTAATTTTATTATATATATATATACTTTTATTATATATATATAATAATAAAATAATTTTATTATATATATAATATTAATTTTATATATATATATATATTAATATTAATTTTATTATATATATATATATATATATATAATTTTTTATTATATATATATATAATATTAATTTTATATATATATAATATTTAATATATATATATATATATAATATTAATTTTATTATATATATATATATATAATATTTTTTATATATATATATAATCTTAATTTTATTATATATATATATATATTAATTTTATTATATATATATATATATATTAATTTTATATATATATATATATATATATATTAATTTTATGATATATATATATAATTTTATTATATATATATATTAATTTTATTATATATATATATATAATATAATTTTATATATATATATATATATATATTTTTATATATATATATATATAATATTAATTTTATTTTATATATATATATATATATATATTTAATTTTATATATATATATATATATATATATATAATTTATTATATATATATATATATATATATATATATATATATATATATATATATATATATAATATTTAACATCCATCATATTCTTACCTTTTAATGAGTGTATTTTCTTATGTATTTTCATATTTGAACAAGAATTATCATTTTATATATAGGTCATTGTTAATCTGCAAACGTTTTTAAATTCTGTCTAGACTTGTATATGTGCTGTCTTCCTGTGACCCCTCACAATTTTACTGGTTCCTTTTTTTTCTATCTCCCTCTTAAATACCTTTTCCCTTATTTGCGTCTTGTTCCTCTGTTTTACTCTTATTTTCTTTCTGTTTTTCTCTCCTTTTTTTAATTTTAAATTTAAAAAAATCTTTGCGATTCATTTTGTATCAAATGTTTTATTACGTTTTATTATTTACAAGCTCCAGAGAAATGGCCATAAAGATGGGGTACAATTGAGTTTCATTTTTATGTAATTGATTTCTATGCTCTATAATAAAAATATTGAACTCACTTTTGTGGATCAGTTTTAATATTTTATATTAATAGGATTCATTTTGATTACTTACCTACAGATTTTTTAATCTTTTAATTTTATATATATATATATATATATATATATATATATATATATATATAGAGAGAGAGAGAGAGAGAGAGAGAAAGAGAAAGAGAGAGAGAGATTTAATAGGCAAGTTAATAAAATTTGATTAATAAAATGTATACTCCAAGATAACAATATTGGCAGGATGATTGATATTTATTATATATTAGCTTTTAGCACGAATGGAAAGATTTTAAAGTCGGAATATTCGGACACGACTGTGTACTTTTTCAACGAGACTAGGAATTTTTTACTTCCAGTATGCCCTTTGTCTCTGGGCAGATTCTCCAGAATTCATTCCTATATATCAGGATGGATACCAAATACCAAACAGCAATTAATCATTCATTCTTTGTTTTTATCGAACCGTATTTTTCCTGCTTTTTATAATTTTTCTTGATTTTTGGGATGCTTATTCCACTAAGACCAGTGGTTTCAAACCATGCGGCGCGTCTCATAGGTGTGGCGGAAGAGGATAGCAGGTGAGGCAGAATTATTGAAAGACAAAAATTATAAACAGTTTCAAAAAATTTGCATGCCAAAAATAAATATGATTTCAAAATTTTAAATATTATATGGATAGATAGATAGATACAGTATACATATATATATATATATATATATATATATATATATATATATATATATATATATTCGGTTTATATCACCATTACTTTATTAATTTCAGTATACTTTAGCTGTTCATATCCGTTGATTCTCTATCTTGACATCGTTGTCTTCAGTTTTATGAGTTCCAATTCTTTAACGTATGAGTCAGTTCCCCATTTTCCTGCTTCTTTATCAATCCTAGTCATATGGCATTCTTGGAGGAGACCGTTATATATCGAGATGATGGCCTTCGTCTAAATATAAACTTTATGATTCTAATCAATGTCCACACAAGACTGCGGTCAAAATCTTGTTAACTCCCTATAAAAGCTATGGACTTCGGATTTGATGTCCCCTGGGTGTTAGTTTAATCCAATTTTACTCAAATCCATTTACTAATCCTTCGAGTGAAGGATGGGGTCAAACAGGACAAAGTTACTGCAAGTTAATCTCATAATAAGAAAGTTAGAATTGTGAAAGGCATTATAATTTCCCGATGGATATTGTAAAATATTTGGAGACGTATATGTTGGACAAGAAATGTATAAATGGAAAATAAATTCTGGCATTTTAATATAAAATTTTATTATTTACATTTCTACAAATCCAAAGAAATGATAACTCTGTAAGACAATTAGACAAACTTTTATTATTATTATTATTATTGTTTTTGTTGTTGTTTTGTGAGGATCAAAGACTCTAATCAGAAAAATGAATTTTATTGCAACAAAAGCGACATTTGCGAGACAGAACATGATTTGATTTAGCAAAGAATGTAAATTTTTTTTGACTTCAACTCTATCATTTGTAAAAAATATATTTTGAACAGGAGTAGAGGTTGATCCTTTTTCTTTGCTTTAGGTTTGCATTTCCAGTTCGTTTTAAATTTACTTCAACTGTATATTTATAATGCCACTGAATGA